TCAAGAGATTCTCCTGCCTCAGCCTCCCGAGTAGCTGAGATTACAGGCACCCACCACCACACTCAGCTAATTTTTGGTTTTTAGTAGAGACGGGATTTCACCATGTTGGTCAGACTGGTCTTGAACTCCTCACCTCAAGTGATCCGCCCACCTCAGCCTCCCAAAGTACTGGGATTACAGGCATGAGTCACTGCCCCTGGCCACGCAGCCTTTTTAAACTTCTTCCTGTTTTTGCTCAATGCCTTGCGATCTGGGCTCCTTTCTGACCCAGTCTTCCTTGGGCTTCCCAGACTCCAGACCATCCACGCTCTGAAGATACGATCATCTCCCTCCCACTCTCTGCTGGCTCCATCCTGGCCTCCTCCCCGCTCCCACCCCTTCAAAGGAAGACCTTCCCCCAGGAAAATGTGTTGTTCCTTTTCATTTTCCATCTCTACTTTCCCTTCCCTCTGCCTAGATCCTGATACTGCCTCGGCTTCACACACGAGCCATTTCTGGGGGACACCAGTTTGCCTTGGGGCATCCCCCCAGTGCTTGTCTGGGCAGTGACCTCACCAGCCTTGAGGTCCCTCCTGCCCTGCCCTGCAGGATGGGTACTGGTGGCTTTCAAGGACCAAAGATAGTTGAGAAGCCGTAGTTCTCACCCCACACTTCCCCATCGGGTGGCATGCTACACGGAAATCAACCTTCAGGCCCGACGCTACCCTACTGGAAACATCTGTTAGCACAAAGCACAGAAACAGACACCCAGCCTCTGCCCACGGGCTCAGGGAAGTCCCACTCTGTCCTGTCACAACTACTTTTTTTTTTTAGATGGAGTTTCGCTTTTGTTGCCCAGGCTGGAATGCAGTGGCACAATCTCAGCTTACCGCAACCTCCACCTCCCGGGTTCAAGCGATTCTCCTGCCTCAGTCTCCCAAGTAGCTGGGATTACAGGCATGTGCCACCTTGCCAGGCTAATTTTGTATTTTTAATAGAGACGGTGTTTCTCCATATCGGTCAAGCTGGTCTCGAACTCCCAACCTCAGGTGATCCTCCCACCTGGGCCTCCCAAAGTGCTGGGATTACAGGCATGAGCCACCACGCCCAGCACAATATCTTTTCTCAGGAATTCAAGGACATGCTCATCAATGACTAGCTAACCTCTAGTCAGAGCACCACCTGTGGGGGCCCAGAACCACTCAGAGAAACTTCTAGGCCCAGGGGACTGCCCTGCTGGTGGCTGGGCTCATCCAGACCCAGGCAGAGGGGACTTGTGGCACTTCTTCCCGGGCACACATCTTCAGTAACACTTTTTTTTACTACAGAACAATGATTTCTGACCCTCGTGTGCTAATGTATAGACCAGGCGTCCCCAAACTACGGCCCCGCGGGCCGCATGCGGCCCCCTGAGGCCATTTACCCGGCCCCCCGCCGCACTTCAGGAAGGGGCACCTCTTTCATTGGTGGTGAGTGAGAGGAGCACAGTATGTGGCGGCCCTCCAACGGTCTGAGGGACAGTGAACTGGCCCCCTGTGTAAAAAGTTTGGGGATGCCTGGTATAGACCCTCTGCTGTGACGGTAGACAGCCACATTTGAGTGCTGGCTGTGGCTGCCCTGGAGTGTAGACTGCTGCTCAGGGTCTTTCAAAAACACCAACCAAAATTAACTCACATGCTCACAAAATCACACAGCGGCACTGAGGCGATTACAGTCAGCACAGCTGCCTACCCAGGGCCACTGCTGGGCTCCAGTCTCTCGCCTCACAAGGGCCACCTCTCTGCAAGGCACACAGGACACATCATCTTCTGCTTTGGGGGTCCCTCTGGCCCAAGTCGACCCCCACCTTGTCCCGTCAAGAACCGATCCAGTGTGTCTTCTGCCCAGTCAGATACTCCCAGCCCTGGGTCTCTGCAGTCCTTGCCTCTGGGCAAAGGCCTGTGCTGGAGTCGGTTGCCAACAGGGTCGGATTCCAACCAATTCTGTGAAGGGGTGGGGTATAAAAGAAAATGGAGGCCGGGCGCGGTGGCTCAAGCCTGTAATCCCAGCACTTTGGGAGGCTGAGGCGGGTGGATCATGAGGTCGAGAGATCGAGACCATCCTGGTCAACAAGGTGAAACCCCGTCTACTAAAAATACAAAAAGTTAGCTGGGCATGGTGGTGCGTGCCTGTAATCCCAGCTACTTAGGAGGCTGAGGCAGGAGAATTGCCTGAGCCCAGGAGGCGGAGGTTGCGGTGAGCCGAGATCGCGCCATTGCACTCCAGCCTGGGTAACAAGAGCGAAACTCCGTCTCAAAAAAAATAAAATAAAATAAATAAATAAATAAATAAAAAGAAAATGGAGCAGCCAGGTGCGGTGGTCCACACCTGTAATCCCAACATCTTGGGAGGCCGAGGCAGGCGGATCATGAGGTCAGGAGTTCGAGACCAGCCTGACTAACATGGTGAAATCCTGTCTCTACTAAAAACACAAAAATTAGCTGGGCGTGGTGGCATGCACCTGTAATCTCAGCTACTTGGGAGGCTGAGGCAGGAAAAGCACTTGAACCCAGGAGGCAGAGGTTGCAGGGAGCCAAGACAGTGCCATTGCAGTCCAGCCTGGGCAACAAGGACACAGAACCCACCTTCATCTTGGCCTGGGACTCCTGCGGCCTATGCAGCCAGCTCATCTGTCTGTCGCCCGCCCTCTTCTGGGATCCCCCGTTCTGGAACTTCCCTCTACCTCTGGGGTCTGCCTTCAGCCAGGGTGAGGGGTAGAGGGAGAACAGATCCCATCACAGACTGGCCTGCCTTCCTCAGGGGCCTTACTCAAATCCACGGGAATCTGCTGGGGCTCTGCCCTCTGGCCGGGGCAGGTGGAACTGGCCAGCTTGGTGGTGGGGAGACCACCGTGCTTCCCATAAGGACTGACCCAGCTGGCCCACAGGCGAGTGCGTTGGAGTAATGGGAGCCTGGCCCGGCTCCCACACTCCCTGCCCCCACCCCACCATCAGGGACTCGAATGTAATTGTCATTCATTTTCCCCTCTCTGAGTTCAGCCTAGGCACAGATCAAATGATTCCATGATCACAAACCGCCTGTCTCGGTTGACCAGATTCCACCGGCAAACATTCGGCTGACCTTGGGCAGCTCCCTCTGCTCCCACCTCCTTGTGCTTCTGGGGCCTTATGGGGTAGGCTGGACATCAGTGATAACACTAACCGTAGCCAGCCTGTCACCAAGCTCGTCACGTAGGGGACGCCTATGTCTGCTTCATTGGCGTCATCTCACAAGGCCCTGAGCTGGCAGGAAATTGAGGTCTCAAGGGGATAAGCCACCTGCCCCCAGTGACAGCAAGGAAGTGCAAGTCTCTGACCCAACCCCCATGCCTACCATCCCCAAACATGGGCTCAAAACCCCTTCCCAGGGACAGCTGTGTCCACTCCTCAGCAGGAGGAGACCCCACAGCACCAGGTGAGAGAGAGGTCAGTGCTGAGGCCGAGCAGGCAGCTCTCAGCAGAGCCCCTGGGTGGAGCCAGGGAAGCCAGGCCACACTTGCAGGGTAAAGTGGGGAACCCGGAAGCCTGGGCAGTGCAGCAAAGTGATTGGTACCCCATCCTTAAGGTTCAAGGGCACCTTGGAGGGGGAGGAAAAACTTAAGACACGATAGAATGTTCTGGAATCTTGTAAGTGCCAATTAGGGAATGTGAAGAGCCTTTCAGGCAGAATTCCAGAGGAATGCTGGGGCCGGTGCCCTTTGTCGTGGCCCACCAGAAGTCCCAGAGCAGGAGTGGGCTGCACAGAGAACACGGAGCGGGCCTTCTCGGTCCAGCCAGGTGACTTCCGGAATCCTCCAGCAGGGAGAACCATCGCTGGTCCTGCCGTTATTGAGGTTGTTCTGGTCTTGTTCTGTGTGGAGGATCGGTGCTTAGCATCCAGCAGGATCTCCAAAATGCCCACAGAATTGAAATGGAAACTCTTTGTGGTCCAATCCTAACAGCTGACGTCTACTGGGCAGCTACAATATGCCAAGCCTGGTTCTGGGCCCACGCATGACTGGCTCACCGAATCCTGGAGGCAAGCACCATTATTCCCACCTTACAGGGAAGGAAATGGGGCTGCAGAGGGGAACTCCCGGCCAGCTAGGAGAGCCGCGAGCCCAGAGTTAGTAAGCACATCCAGGAGGCCTGCCTGGCCTGAAGGCTGGCGTTTAGCCCTTCCTCCACCTTTTTTTTCCCCCGGGGACAGCAGTGACAAGGAGCTACTTTCCTACCCAGCACACAGGGAGGCTACGAGTCCACAGCTGGATCCTAGGCCCTCAAGGCCAGGGTGAGGCGTCGTACCCGCCCCGCGCCCCCCACCGGAGTCCCCCACCTCCAGAGCATCTAGGCCTGGTGTGCACAAGCAGACTCATAAAGGCTTGAGGACAAAAAGGGTTTTGAGTGATAGGTGAAAAGAGAAAGGAGACAGGGCTAAGGCAACAGACTGGGCCAACAGGCCTTCCCGTGGTGCTGGGGAGTCCTCAGAGGTGGGAGGAACCCCAGAGGTGGAGAGGGGGACACGGGGGAGCAGGGAGCACAGAGACGGCTTCCAGAGCCACAGGCGCATCCGGCCTCCTCCCCTGCTGGCTGGCTCTGCTCCCGACCCTGGGTAGCCCAACAGCTGGGCAAGGGGTCTGCCTGGGCCCGGGAAAGGTGCGGGGGCAGAAGGTAGCAGAGGGAGAAAAGGACCCCCTGCCTGCCTCTGACCCCAAAGACAAGTCTGAATGGGACCACAGGGAAATGGCCGGGCCTTGGCGCGCCCCAAGGTGTTGGAGGGGACCAGGGTGTTCAGGTTTCCCACAAGTCCAGGAGGGGCCGGCGACTCCCCCGGGAGCCTCCGCCAGGGACAGGCGTCCCGGGGAGTGAAGGTGACCCCCGTGGACTCCGAAGCCCCGCCTCGGCTGTGCACAGCATGCTTGGCGCGCTTGGGGTGCCCGGGGGCCCGTCTCAGAGGAACGGGGACGGGCGGCGGCGGGGCGGGCTCGGAGCGCCTAAGGGGTTAAGGCACCTGGGCCGCCGCCCCTGCCAGCCCCTCCTCCCGCGGCCGGGAAAAGGAAAGTCGCGGCGGGGGCGCGGCTCGGCCTCCGTCCCCGCCCGCCCACCCGCCGTCCTGCCGGCCGGAGCCGCGGCGCCCAGAGCTGCGAGCCGCGCGCTCCTCCGCCGCCCCGGCCCGGGCCGCCATGTCGCTGTGGTGAGTGGGGCGCGGGGCCGTCGGGGGCCGGGGCGGGGGCGCGGGCCCGGGGCTCCCCCTCCTCCGCGGCTGCAGACGGGCGCCGGGACTCCCGGGATGGGAGGTGCCCCCGGGCGCGCCGCGCCGGCCTCAGTTTCCCAGGGGCGGACGGGCGGGCGCGGCGGCGGCGGCGGGAGATGTCCGCGGTGCGCGGCCCCGGACCCGTGCGGGGCGACGGGGGTCTCGGGGCGCCACGCTCAGCTCCAGGACCCCGGCGGCTGGGATCCCAGGTCTCGTCGGCAGCCGGGTCCCCTCGCCCTTCCAGACTCTCGAGGGCCCCCTGCTCCCGGGCCGCCCAACTCCCCTCTGGGCTTCCTGCCGCGGGAGCTCCGCTGCCGCCGCCCAGCCCCTCTCCGCCCCTCCCGGGCTTTCCCTACGGATGGGCTGGACGCGGCAGGTGGAGCGCCCGCAGCCCAGGGGCTCGCCGCCCTCTCGGTGCACCCCCGACTTCCCCCCTCCCAGCCTCGGTGGGCCGCCTCCCTGGAACCCCTAGGGTGGCAGGGCCGGATCCGGAGCCCTCTGCTCCCCTCCCCGGAAAGTTGGATCTTGGCTCACACCCCCCAGCCCGCACCTAAGGTTACCCTGCCTTCCTCCAACCACAGGCTGCCCAGCAACCTGGGCACCCTATGGGAAAAATGTCTCTCTGTAGGGCTCAGCCTGCATTCACCCTGGGTGCCCTCAGGCCACCCCAGGCGTCTCCATGGGCTCCATGTCTCTCCTGCCACCCTGCTTCTCCCCCTTGGAGGTCAGCACCATCTCTGCGAGGCCGGCCCTGGAAGGCCACTCTGCTGTCCCTGGAGCTCTCAGCCCCCAGGTCTTCACTGGGGAGGCTCAGACAGGCGTCCTGGCAGCTGCCGGAGGGTGAAATGAGGAGAGGGGTCCTTCAGGCCAGGGGCGCAGGCCCCAGGGCTTGAGCCCACCAGCGCTCCTGGCAAAGAGCTCTTAATTTCTGTTTCTGAAATGGGTGTGGCCGGAGGGGGGTTTCTGGGCAAGGAGGTTCCCTCGAGGGCTAGGGCTGCAAGTGTCCCCTCGAGGTGGGAGGAGCCCCAGAGGTGGAGAGGGGGACACAGGGGAGCGGGGAGCACAGAGAAGGGGAATAGAGCTGGGACCTCATGTGTTCTAATGGGGTGTTGTGAGCTGGGGATGTTAAGGGGGGTGCGGGGCAGTGCCATGCTAGAGGTGCCCGCTGCATCCCGGGCCTCCCTCAACCATCAGGGCTGCTCTCTGTTGGGTCAGAAGGACTAGAGAAGGGGGAGGAGGGCCGGTCTTCCTCAGGTCCCAAGCTCCAGTGTGCCCCACATGTGATGGAGCTCCCAGGTGGCACAGAGGGTCAGAGGGTGTTCTCCCAATGACTCTGGCTCCGAGTCGCCTGATGATACTGATGCCTACTGCTGTGGAGGTTGCACAGGGAAATGAAAAGCCATTGGGGGCTGAGTGTGGTGGCTCATGCCTGTAATTCCAGCGCTTTGGGAGGCCAAGGCGGGCGGATCACGAGGTCAAGAGATGGAGACCATCCTGGCTAACCCTGTCTCTACTAAAAATACAAAAAATTAGCTGGGCGTGGGGGTGCGTGCTTGTAGTTCCAGCTCCTCGGAGGGCTGAGGCAGGATAGTCACTTGAACCTGGGAGGCGAAGGCTGCAGTGAGCCGAGATTGCACCACCGCGCTGCGGCCTGGCAATATAGCAAGACTCTGTCTCATAAAGAAAAAAAAGAAAGCTATTGGGGCACCGGGGGGTGGGGAACGGGGCAGAGGTCTCCACCCCAGCCTCTCCTGGTAAGGTGACGGCATTCCCCTCACTGCACGTCGGCTCCCTGGCACTTTATGTAGCGCTCCAATCCTGTGTTTTAGCCCCATTTGGGGAAGAAGAAATCGTGGTGCAGAGCGGTTGTAAATCACTCATTCAGCTGGTAAGCGGCAGGGCCTGATTCCACAGTGCTCCTCGAGGAGAGGGCAGGGTGGGAGAGGGAGAGGGCAGAGTGGGAGAGGTGGCGGGACCCTCCTCTGACCACTCGGGGGCTCCGGGACTGAGTCTGTGCCCAGGTCCACTTGCCCATCTGGGGCCACCCGGCCTCCCAAGGTGGGGCACCAGGAGAGTCGTGGGCTCATGTTTTCTCAGCCCTCTGTACTGTCCACTCTCACCTACAGGAAGAAAACCATCTACCGGAGTCTGTGCCTGGCCCTGGCCCTGCTCGTGGCCGTGACCGTGTTCCAGCGCAGTCTCACCCCCAGTCAGTTTCTGCAGGAGCCTCCGCCGCCCACCCTGGAGCCACAGAGGGCCCAGAAGCCAAACGGACTGCTGGTAAACTCTGACAACTTCTGGAAGAACCCGAAGGATGTGGCCACGCCCACGACCCTGGCCTCTCAGGGGCCCCAGGCCTGGGACGTGACCACCACTAACTGCTCAGCCAACATCAACCTGACCCACCAGGCCTGGTTCCAGGGCCTGGAGCCGCAGTTCCGGCAGTTTCTCCTCTACCGCCACTGCCGCTACTTCCCCATGCTGCTGAACCACCCAGAGAAGTGCGGGGGCAATGTCTACCTGCTGGTGGTCATCAAGTCGGTCATCACGCAGCACGACCGCCGGGAGGCCATCCGCCAGACCTGGGGCCGCGAACGGGCGTCGGCAGGCGGGGGCCGGGGTGCCGTGCGCACCCTCTTCCTGCTGGGCACGGCCTCCAAGCAGGACGAGCGCATGCACTACCAGCAGCTGCTGGCCTATGAGGACCGCCTCTACGGCGACATCCTGCAGTGGGACTTTCTTGACACCTTCTTCAACCTGACCCTCAAGGAGATCCACTTCCTCAAGTGGCTGGACATCTACTGCCCCCACGTCCCCTTCATCTTCAAAGGCGACGATGACGTCTTCGTCAACCCCACCAACCTGCTAGAGTTTCTGGCTGACCGGCAGCCACAGGAAAACCTGTTTGTGGGTGACGTCCTGCAGCACGCTCGGCCCATCCGCAGGAAAGACAACAAATACTACATCCCGGGGGCCCTGTACAGCAAGGCCAGCTACCCGCCGTATGCAGGTGGCGGTGGCTTCCTCATGGCCGGCAGCCTGGCCCGGCGCCTGCACCATGCCTGTGACACCCTGGAGCTCTACCCCATCGACGACGTCTTCCTGGGCATGTGCCTGGAGGTGCTGGGCGTGCAGCCCACAGCCCACGAGGGCTTCAAGACTTTCGGCATCTCTCGGAACCGCAACAGCCGCATGAACAAGGAGCCGTGCTTCTTCCGTGCCATGCTGGTGGTCCACAAGCTGCTGCCCCCCGAGCTGCTGGCCATGTGGGGGCTGGTGCACAGCAACCTCACCTGCTCCCGCAAGCTCCAGGTGCTCTGACCCCGGCCGGGCCACCAGGACAGGCCAGGGCACGTGCTCCTGAGCCCCCATCATATCGGGGCTGGAACAGTAGTGCCCGGGCCTAGCCCTTGGTCCCCAAGGGGAGGTGGAGGGTGGAGGCCTACGTGCCACTGGGTGTGCTGGGGTGCAGATAGCCAGAGAGGGACCTCCCTGTGTGGATAATTCCAGCAAACAGGCCCAGGAACGGCTGGAGCTGCCCAGTCTGGGGGCCCTCTCTGAGAAGCGACCTGGTCCGTGGCTGGCCCCTCAAACCTGGTGGGAGGTCCTCGCGATCTCTGGAGGCACTGTGTGCTCAGGTACCTGGCTAGGCTTGGCCTGATGAGTCTGTGGCCGCCCCTCATCTTCACAGGGAAGAGTCTTCTGTGAAATGCCTCAGTCTCCCCAGGGGCCAGGCGGGCCTGGCAGGAGAAACCTGACCCTGTGCAGGCTCACAGGCGCCCCCCAGTCCCCGCGCTGGTCCCCCAGCAGGCTCTCCGCCACCCCAGGCCTGCCTGCAGCTGGGCCATCTCCCCTCTGGGGCCTCGGCTCCAGGGCCTTCGCTCCTGGCTGTGTCCTGTAACACCAGAGGGGGCAACCGCTCTGACTACCTCAGCGCCCCTCAGAACCTCCCGCCCCTCCCCGAAACAGGGCAGAAGAGCAGCGCTCCTGGCCCCCTGAAACCCCAGTGCTGCCGACCCCAGCCCGAGGCGCGTCCCTCCCGCAGTCCCCACCCTCCCCAGGCCTGGCTCCCTGGCCGGAAAGCAGCCGCTTTGGCCGTGGAAGTGGACATTCCTCTATTACTGTGAAGTCTTATTTATGAAGAATGTGGAGGGAGAAGGCTCCAGGCTTCAGGAGGGGGTGGTGTCCTCCCTGGCCATCCTCCTTCCCTTCCCTCATTCCAGCTGCCTGCCCCCAGCACCCCCAGGCCCCTCACAGCCCCCTCCAGAGCCCTGCCCGCCCTGCACCCTGCTTCTGCAGGGCCTAGTGGACCAGCGGCTGCCCTGTGCAGGGTGGCTCAGGCGTGGGGTGGGTGCAGAACGTTGCCACCTCCTACCTCAGCAGGGGTCACCTAGGAAAGATGGAGGGATCTGCTATGTTCTCAATAAAATGGGACTTTTTTTTTTCTGGTGTGAAACTTCCTGTTCCCAGCTCCATCAGAGAGCCTGTCTGGGGCTGAGGTTGCCAGAGAGATTTCAGAAGACACAGTTTGTTCCTTGTTCTTGGCTGGGGGGTACACAAGGACTTCTTGAAGGGATGTAGAGACCGCTGCGTGCTAGGATTACAGTGGGGATGGGGGCGTGGCGTGCTAGGATTACAGTGGGGATGGGGGCATGGCGTGCTAGGATTACAGTGGGGATGGGGGCGTGGCGTGCTAGGATTACAGTGGGGATGGGGGCGTGGCGTGCTAGGATTACAGTGGGGATGGGGGTGTGGCGTGCTAGGATTACAGTGGGGATGGGGGCGTGGCAACAAAGACATGGAAGCTAGCAGTGCACCCAGCCCTTGCCTGTGTCCTGGTGGACAGCTGAGCTGTGGCTCAGGCGTGGGCCAGTGCCTTCCTGTCCCTGCCAAAGGTGAGGCCAGAGTTGGCCTGAGGCTAATGTTTTGGCGGGTGGGATTAGATAGGGTGCTGAGGCCAGTGGGCTCCCTAAGGCCACTTTCAGTGAAAGCACTGAAGTGGCTTATGGGTGCCAGGGACCTTGGCCCCAGCTCCCTCCAGGATGGGGAGGGAGCTGCCTCCCCCAGAAGAGTCACTCAGGCAGCAGCAGAGCAAGCCAGAGGCTCCCTGCCTGCACCCAGCTCAGGGGAATCCCAGAGGGGTCAGATGCCCCTGGAGGGAAAGGGGACAGTACTGCTCTTTCTCCCTCTCCAGCATGGGTCTTCCCACAGTTCCGTCTCAGCCATAATTTGCAGAGCCCAGTGCAAAATGAAATGACAGGACCCTGGTTCTAAAAAGGTATTAAGAATTTTCAAAAAAATTTTCAAGTGGCCAGGTATGGTGGCTCACACCTGTAATCCCAGCACTTTGGAAGGCCAAGGTGTGTGGATCACCTGAGGTCATGAGTTTGAGACCAGCCTGACTAACAATGAAACTCCATCTCTACTAAAAATACAAAATATTAGCCGGGCATGTTGGCATGCACCTGTAATCCCAGCTACTCCAGAGGCTGAGGCAGGAGAATCACTTGAACCCGAGAGGTGGAGGTTTCAGTGAACTGAAATCATGGCATTGCATTCCAGCCTGGGCAACAAGAGTGAAACTGTCTCAAAAAAAAAAAAAAAAAAAAAGAATTGTAAGGCTGAGTGCGATGGCTTACATCTGTAATCCCAGCACTTTGGGAGGTCCAAGCGGGTGGATCACAAGGTCAGGAGTTTGAGACCAGCCTGGCCAACATGGTGAAACCCCATCTCTACTAAAAATATAAAAATTAGCTGGACATGGTAGTGTGTGCCTATAGTTCCAGGTACTCAGGAAGCTGAGGCAGGAGAATCACTTGAACCCAGGAGGCAGAGGTTGCAGTGAGCTGAGATTGCATCATTGTACTCCAGCCTGGACAACGGAGCAAAACTCCGTCTCAAAAAAAAAAAAAAAAAAAAGGAATTTTAAAAGCTGGGCTCACGCCTATAATCCCAACACTTTGGGAGGCTGAGGTGGGAGAATGGCTTGAGCCCAGGAATTTGGGACCAGCCTGGATGACATAGTAAGACACTGTCTCTACAAAAAATTTAAAAATTACCTCAGAGTGGTGGCACGCACCTGTTTGGGGCCAAGGTTGCTAGAGATTGCCTTGGGGGGCCTGAGGTGGGAGGATCCCTTGAACCCAGGAGATCAAGGCTACAGTGAGCCATGATCGCATCACTGCACTCCAGCCTCGGTGACAGAGCTAGACACTATCTCAAAAAAAAAAAAAAAAAAAAAAAAAGAATTTAAGATTGCCATAGCAGATCATTGAACATTAAACCAAGTGCCCAGAGCTTCCGAGCAGGGCCTGCCACTGTGATGCCAGCCCTGTGTGTCCCTCCTCACCCTCAGAAACCAGGTCCTACTCTGGACTGCAGAGAGGGGATTGGGGCTACAGTTCAGCCTGGGAGAGGGCAGCCCAGGGACACCCAGAAAACAGAGGCATACAGGGTGGAGGCCCAGAGGCAGCTGTGGGTTCAGCTGAGGATGAGGCAGAGCGCACCATGTATGCTGAGGGCGCCGGGAGCGGGGCAGGTGCCTTCTGAAGCAGAAAAGAGCTCCTCTTGGGGCTGGACCTGGGAGTGAAAGAAGGGGAGGAGGCTGGGAGGCAGGCAGGGTGTGTTCTCAGGTCTTCTAGGTTCCGGAGTGGTTCACAGCAACCTGAGGGATCCAAAGGCTGTTTTGAGGTGGCCCTGCAGCTCACTCTGGCCCAATCTGGCCGACTCCTCCAGACACCCATGGACACAAAGCTGACTCTGGAAAAATCAGGCATTTAGTCCTGCTTCCTGATAATGATAACAACTGACATTTTTATGGAGCACATTTCATATGCCCGGCACCCTGGTAAATAGTTAACATGTGTAGTCAATGACTTTAACTCAGGGTACAAATATGGTTACTTTTTAATTTTTCTCATTGATTGCTCAAATACCTCATGTACTATTATTGGCAGAAAAAAAAAATCAATACCACACTCTTGGAACCCACTCTCAAATTGTCCAAGAAACTCAGGGGTTTCCCTCCTTCAAAGAGAGGGTTCTCTGGAAAGTCTGAGCAGCCGTCTGCAGTTGTTCCCACTCCCTCCACACAGTGGCACTGTGGAACACCGGGCCTGCACAGTCCTGTGGCTTCTGAGGCTTGGCCACCTTCACTGTGCAGGCTGCAGGTGGGACCCATCCTTCCAAAACAAAGTTACCCTTCTCTCAGTCACCTTTATAAGCTCAACGATCTTTCCCCAACAGTAGCAGCATGCCAGGGGTGCTGGGTTCTGTGACTCCCAGTCAGCTACACAGTCTGGTGGGGGAACCCCACAGACTCACTCAGGTTCTCTCTGGCCTAGTGAAGCCAGAATAACTAAAATAAATTTTAGTTATTCCTGGAGTCTTAACTCTTTCCTCCTCAAAGGCCCTGGCTTTGCAAAATGGTTCCCTCCTCCCCAGCAACTAGCTCTGCATTCCAAGGGGCCTTGAAAAGGGGCAGCCTTTGTCAGGCCTCAAAAAGTCCAATTCTACTCTTCCCCCAGGGCAATGGGTGCCTACTCAGCCACATTAACATAACTAAAGGAGACCACTCAAAGAATCCTACCCTTAACAAAGAAAGCCTGTTCCTAGGTGACTTACTCTGTGCACCTAAACTGAGAACAGGGAAAGCTTCTGGAATCCTGTTATACACCATGTTCAAAGTAAGAAATGGAGGGCCCTAAGATAAAGATCCCACGGCTACAGTGTGACAGGCACGATTTGAACTCTGTGCCCTGCACGCCGAACCCCCATACCCCACTGTCTCCCAAGAGCTTCCAGCCTCCCCTCTTTTCTCCTTAGCAGTAACTTAGTCGTAAATCTGTGTGTGTTGTTTCTGCCTAAAAGGAGGAAAATGTTATGTCCAAGGAGTGATTGAAATTGTGGTGTTTGGGGAAGCCCAGTATTATTAGGGCTGTAAGAAATAAATTTTTCCAGATAGTGATTGAAGCTATTGTGAAGAAAAACTTTTCTGTTCCAGTTGAACACTATACATCATCTAACGCACAGCCTGACCTGTCTGCTTCCAGCCCCATTCATGGTCTTTGAGCTATTTTGCACCCCTTTTTAAGTTGCAGGTACTGAGCTTTGCAGACTGTCTTGTCAAGTGAAGCTTCCATTGCCTTCTTCCCCCCCCCCCCCCGCACCCCGCACCCCCCACGGTGGAAAAACCAGTTTGCCTCCGTTTGCAATTCAATTCCTTTACTCCATATAAATTTGTGCTTTTTGATGTCTCCTTTGAACCAGTTATAACATCTGCCTTGTCCTTCTTATGAGTAAAATAAATCTTTAACACACGGGGCTTGGTTTTTATTTCTGAACAAGGGTCACAAATTTACCTTTTTCTGAAAATTGCCTTTTACTAATTGCCTTTATGTAACTGAAAATGAACACAGATACATTATCAAACAGAATGCAATTTTTGCTTACATTTCTAAACAAAACTTGAACCTTGGAATACATTGTGTACTCACTCACTGTAGGTCCTTCCTAAGTGAGCCAAAGCTTAGAGCTCCATCCTTTCAGAGCCTTTTTGCCCCCCACCCCGGGAATTCGAGAAAATATCTAGTCCAGATCGCAACCAGGCAGAACGAATCCGAACGACTGAGTGGGTGAGGCATGAGCCCAGACACTTTTAATAGCTCCCAAGGTGACTCCGCCGGGCACCGAAGCTGGGAACTACCGGCCCGGGCCGGGATTGACGGCCCGTGCGGAGCAGCCGGTGACCTATCACAAATCACCTTTGCTTTGTTTTCCGAGCTCAGGCCGAATCCCACAGGAATGCGCGGAATCCCTGCCCCCACCCCCGGCGAAGTTGTCCCCGTCGGGCTCCACCTGCCCCCCCCTCCCCGCGCCCCACTGCTCCTCGTCACGGGGCAGCCGGGTGGGCGCGGGCGTCCCGCGGCGCGATGAGACCCAGATCCCCTAGCAAAAACCGCCTGGGCTGAGCGGGGGACAACCGCGCTCGGCCGTCGAGGGTGGAGCGAGCCTGGTGTGTGTGGTGGGGGTAGCATCCGCGGTATTTCGGGGCCTGCGGAGGAAGTGGGGATCTCGGCGCCACGGGGTGCGCGCCTCAAACGGCGGCATCTCCCCTCGGGACCGGCCGCGGGGCCGGGAAAGGCTTAGGGTACGAGGCGGCGCAGCCCCCCTGGCCGGCGGCTGGGCCCGGGGCGGGGCGGGGCCCCACGAGGAGCAAGGGGCGGGGCGGCCGGGAGGGCTGGGTGAGTCCCCGCCCGGGCGATCCCAGGAGAGGGCAGGGAGCGCCCCCAACTGCCCGCCGGGGACGTCGTGACGCTGAGGTGGATGGGGCCGCAAGATGTGAGCAGGTTGTGTGAAATCTGGACCTCCGTTACTGGTACCCCAAGGTATCTGTGTTATGCGGCTTTACGCTGGAAAGCGCCATACCACGCTGTTAG